AGTTCCGCTCCTTCATGTTTGTGTGAGGTGGGAGGAGGAGGATTAAGAGGAGGAAGGGGGGGGGGAGGAAGAGGATTAAGAGGAGGGGGGGGGAAGGAGAGGGATAAATACTGATACTCCTTGACCTTGGTGTCTGAAGAGTGATGCCAGACCTGCCCGTGACACCGTGTTTTGGGTTGACACCACCACCTCTCACACCAGCACCACCTCTCACACCAGCACCCCCTCTCACACCAGCACCACCTCTCACACCAGCACCACCTCTCACACCAGCACCACCTCTCACACCAGCACCACCTCTCACACCAGCACCACCAGCACCACCTCTCACACCAGCACCACCTCTCACACCAGCACCCCCTCTCACACCAGCACCACCTCTCACACCAGCACCACCTCTCACACCACCACCACCTCTCACACCAGCACCACCTCTCACACCACCACCACCTCTCACACCACCACCACCTCTCACACCACCACCACCTCTCACACCAGCACCACCTCTCACACCACCACCACCTCTCACACCACCACCACCTCTCACACCAGCACCACCTCTCACACCAGCACCACCTCTCACACCAGCACCACCTCTCACACCAGCACCACCTCTCACACCAGCACCACCTCTCACACCAGCACCCCCTCTCACACCAGCACCCCCTCTCACACCACCACCACCTCTCACACCACCACCCCCCTCTCACACCAGCACCACCTCTCACACCACCACCACCTCTCACACCACCACCACCTCTCACACCACCACCACCTCTCACACCAGCACCACCTCTCACACCAGCACCACCTCTCACACCAGCACCACCTCTCACACCACCTCTCACACCAGCACCACCTCTCACACCAGCACCCTCTCTCACACCAGCACCACCTCTCACACCACCACCCCCTCTCACACCAGCACCACCTCTCACACCAGCACCCCCTCTCACACCAGCACCCCCTCTCACACCACCACCACCTCTCACACCACCACCACCTCTCACACCACCACCACCTCTCACACCACCACCCCCTCTCACACCAGCACCACCTCTCACACCAGCACCCCCTCTCACACCACCACCACCTCTCACACCACCACCACCTCTCACACCACCACCACCTCTCACACCACCACCACCTCTCACACCACCACCACCTCTCACACCACCACCCCCTCTCACACCAGCACCACCTCTCACACCAGCACCCCCCTCTCACACCACCACCCCCTCTCACACCAGCACCCCCTCTCACACCAGCACCCCCTCTCACACCACCACCACCTCTCACACCACCACCCCCTCTCACACCAGCACCACCTCTCACACCAGCACCCCCTCTCACACCACCACCACCTCTCACACCACCACCACCTCTCACACCAGCACCACCTCTCACACCAGCACCACCTCTCACACCAGCACCACCTCTCACACCAGCACCCCCTCTCACACCACCACCACCTCTCACACCACCACCACCTCTCACACCACCACCACCTCTCACACCACCACCACCTCTCACACCACCACCACCTCTCACACCACCACCACCTCTCACACCACCACCACCTCTCACACCACCACCACCTCTCACACCAGCACCACCTCTCACACCAGCACCACCTCTCACACCAGAACCACCTCTCACACCAGCACCACCTCTCACACCAGCACCACCTCTCACACCATCAATCCATTTTCCAGACTTCATTGCTGGAAAATGTGTCAAAGCCGTTGATGCCACCCAAGACGGAGGAGAACAAGTATACTCCTGGTTTAAGAGGCAATATAGGGAAGCTGAATGACAAGAAAAAAAAGTCTGGAAAAGTACAGAGAAATAGGAACAGAAGGCAAAAGATCGGCACCAAAGGGAACCAGGAATTAATACGCCCAGGAAAGGAGAGAAGCCGAGAAGCAATTTGAAAAACGGCATTGCGGCCTTATAAGGAGAAACATATGAGTGAGAGAGACCATGTACTCAGTCTGAGGAAACATTGGGAAGTTCTCACAGAAAATGATAATGAGGTATGTGACGAACTCAACTAAAGATTTCAGGAGGTCTTTACAATCGAGTCAACATAAAGATCAAGATTGGGGACGAAAGGTGAGAAGAAACAATGGATGGCATTGCAGTCAATGTAAAGATGGTAAAAAAAAAACTAGAGGAACTTAATTTAACAAAATCAATGGAACCACAATTAATGCTATCATAGTTGCTGAAAGAGGCCATAGAGAATACTTTTTCACCCATTATCTATGATTTTTAATAAAATGTTCGAGAAAGGAAATCTAGAATTCTGGAAAAGGGCAAATGTAGTCTTAAGATTCGAAAAAGGTCATAGAAGGTGGCACTAAATTACAAACCAGTGACAAGTATTCCATATAAAGTCTTTACAAAAAGTAATTGGGTTGAGAATGATGGCGCACCTGAGGAGGACCAACTATGTGACAAAAGGTCAGCGTGGGTTTAGAGAGGAAAAGAAAAGACAAACGACTGAGTCCTATACCTGGGTTACTAAAATAAGACAGGAAAAAGAAGATTGCGTTGACTGTATTTTTCAATTGTCAAAAATCATCGGACACTGTTCCTGTAGGTAAGGCTGGAGAAGCGGTTGGGATAACCGGAAAAACACTGAGATGGGTGAGGGAGTACCTGAAAGATAGGAAGCAAAGGGTCACAGTGAGAGAGGAGATTTCCAGCTGGAGGAATGTAACAAGAGGGGTCCCAGAAGGCTTGGTCCTGGGACCACTGCTGATCAAATTTATGTAAACAACCTATCCGAGGGGGGGAGGGAGCTAGTACATATCAATGTTTGCCGATGGTTCAAAGCTGATGAGGACTGTAAAAACTGAGGAGGACTGCAGGAAGTTACAGGAGGATCTTGATATATTTCGGAAGTGGGCAAACAAATGGTTGCTGGAATTCAGTCCCAACAAATGTAAGGTAATGAAGATGGGGAAAATGAGAAGGCAGACCAGAAGTTATCTTAACCATAAGGAGGAAAGCAAGAGTAGGAATAGGAAAGAGTGAAAGATTAGGGAATGGATATAACTCCAACACTCACACCGGAGGTACAAATAAACAAAGTAACAATAGCAGCGTGTGGGACGCTGGTAAGAATAAGAACATCTTTTAGAAACCTACACCAGGACGCCTTCATGGTAATCTAGACAACACATGTTAAGCTAGTGTTAGAGTACGCAGCACCGGTATGCACTCCGCTCACTGTGAAGCAGTTAGTTTAGTTTACTTTTTGTTCACCCCATACCCATCCTGCGAGTGGTAGTGGAAATGGTTACAGATGAACATAATGGGCTCAAAATAAATTACAAAATTCAATGTGTATTGTCACATCAACAATGGGTTCGAGATCGACCACAAGTACAGGTTCTAAATTAAGCAACTGACATATGTGGAGAGCTAGTGTCACAATTGATATGTTTGTCCTGCACACCGCCCCCCATCCAGTGGGCAGCGGTGGATAGGTTACAATCACTTAGTTACTACCTACAGTTAGCAAACTGGGGATATTTGGCTAAAATTTCTGGTAGCAGATCATTTTGAATGAAATATTTACACATCGTTGGAACATTTGTTATTGAATTCACGTATCTTTTCGCACTCCATCACATAGTGACGGAGGGTGTGCGAATAATTTTGTTGACACAGTTTACATTTGGTCAGGTCTACATCAGCAGATAATGAGAATTCCCAGAGATACTTGTAACTGAGTCTAAGCCGAGCAGTAGTAACATCTAGAAGTCTGCTGATTTTAATGGATGAACCATAGATGTGTGGCTCCTCTTGCATGATAGTATGATGATAGATGGAATTACTGGTGTTAATTTCACTTTGCCTCAGATCTACAAGATCTTGTTGAAACATAAAACCCAAATTAAAAGGATTTGTGCCAAAACTAAGATGGTTAAGCTATGAGATTTAAACTAACGTAACTAAATTTCGCAACCTTAGAGGACAGAAGAAACAGAGGGAATATGATCACAACATGCAAGATATTGAGGGGGGGAATAGATAAGATTGATAAGATGAGTCTGTTCAAACTGAAAGTAGTACAAAAGGACAGACCCTGTGAAAGTTGTGGAAGCCACCTCCATCCACAACTTCAAGGGCAAATTCGACAACAAATTTAAGCATCAGAATTATTCAATCATAACCCAACGAGTACCACAAGGCCAGCAGGCGGGGGCTCAAGAGCTAGACCTCACTTCCCCGTAGGCACTGATAGGTCAGTACCTGTCACTAGCGAACAATCCCTCACATTAACGATCGTTAAGTCCCACCAACGATGATTCAAGCTGCATTCAAACAACAACAGTTCACTAGACATTTGATATTCCCCCGGACGCTTCGTTCATAATATGACTCACAGCCTTAACTTGAGAATTGTGAGCCCTTGCCAGCAGTGAGGAGCTCAGTTATGCTGCCATGTACTCTATTATACTGGAGCGCTCACATTATACCAGAGCGCTCACATTATATCAGACCGCTCACATTATACCAGAGCGCTCACATTATACCAGACCGCTCACATTATATCAGACCGCTCACATTATACCAGAGCGCTCACATTATACCAGACCGCTCACATTATATCAGACCGCTCACATTATACCAGAGCGCTCACATTATACCAGAGCGCTCACATTATACCAGACCGCTCACATTATACCAGAGCGCTCACATTATACCTTTGGAAGTATGGTATATTTGGTATATACCTTATAGGAAGGAAGCAGAAAACGTTTGAACACAAGGGCACGCCGGGAGAGACAACGAGACATAAACACAAAGGTAAAATACAAATGAGACATTGAGAGGAGAGATTAAGAAGAGGACGATAAAGAAAGTAGATAAACACGAGGTGGATAAAAAAGAGCACTTAAAGGGGAAGAGGAGTGTGTGGATAAAGGTGAGTGAGAAGAGTGTTGAGGCGTTGGGGTGAGAGTAGTGGGGGTCTAGGTACTCACCGCCACCGTTCTTGTAGCAGAGGTATGGGAACCGCCACACGTTGCCTAGACCCACACAGAAGCCGATCACAGACAGCAGGAAGTCCAGCTTGCTGCTCCACTGCTCCCGCTCCTTCAGTTTCATCTCCTTCATGATGACCGACCTGTTGCTGGCAAGTCGCGTTTCAGCCTGGCGAACCGGCACGCGAAGCTGTAGTACAAGCTTTAAGTTTGATAGTCTAAAGCAGTAATAATAAAGTTCCTCAGTGATCACGTTTGTCTTTCACCGGTAGGGTCCCATACAAGGACTCGTGGGCTGAGGTGCGCGGAGTGTATTGTGCCACAGTAACAATCACTAGGAAAAGAGAGTACTCGGCCGTAGTTCAGCTGTTAGGTTCACGTATCTCATGTGCAACGCTCGCTTACCCGAGCGGGTGACTGAGGGGAGAGTGCGGGCAGACCTCCAACTCCGCCTCTATATACCGCAGCTGCTGCGGGGGGCTGCGACATGTCGCTAGCGGCGACCACTCTGTGGCTGCTGAGTCCGCTAACGTTAGCAATACCACAAGGGCCAAGGGGGGTGGGGGGGGGGAAGGGGTGCTACTGAGTCGCTAACGTTAGCGGAACTAGTCACTGCCAGGGGCCAGCACACAACACTACTGAGCTACTAGCGCTACTGAGCCACTAACGTTAGCAGAACTAGTCACTGCCAGGGGCCAGCTAGCGCTACTGAGCCACTAACGTTAGCAGAACTAGTCACTGCCAGGGGCCAGCTAGCGCTACTGAGCCACTAACGTTAGCAGAACTAGTCACTGCCGGGAGCCAGCTAGCGCTACTGAGTCACTAACGTTAGCAGAACTAGTCACCGCCGAAGGCCGTCCCACGCTAGTGAATCGCTGACTTTAGCAGCACTAGTCACTGGCAGTGGACGGCCGGTGCTTCCCGGTCATATGGAAGCAAAACTGCACTGCAGGGTGGACCCGGGGGGGGGGGGGCGATGGTTCCATGGCGTGACATGAGCGGTGCCACAGTGCCGGCCAGGACCAGGGGCCAGGGCCAGCGGCCAGGGGCCAGGACCAGGGCCAGGGCCAGGGGCCAGGACCAGGGGGCCGGCTGGTGTCCCCACACGTGGTCACAGGCACTGGTGATAAGGAGTGCCACGACACACCCACCGTATCCCACAACTGTCTGGCGGACTCCTTCTACAGGCACTCAGTTGACAGCCGTGACGACTACACTGTCTTAATGTTGCTGTAGACATGTGAGACATGTTGGTGTAGACATGTGGGACATGTTGCTGTAGACATGTGGGACATGTTGCTGTAGACATGTGGGACATGTTGCTGTAGACATGTGGGTCATGTTGGTGTAGACATGTTGGTGTAGACATGTGGGACATGTTGGTGTAGACATGTGACAAATGTTGGTGTAGACATGTTGCTGTAGACATGTGAGACATATTGGTGTAGACATGTGAGACATGTTGGTGTAGACATGTGGGACATGTTGGTGTAGACATGTGAGACATGTTAGTGTAGACATGTGAGACATGTTGGTGTAGACATGTGAGACATGTTGGTGTAGACATGTGAGACATGTTGCTGTAGCCATGTGGGGACATGTTGGTGTAGCCATGTGAGACATGTTGCTGTAGACATGTGAGACATGTTGCTGTAGCCATGTGGGACATGTTGTTGTAGCCATGTGAGACATGTTGCTGTAGCCATGTGGGGACATGTTGGTGTAGCCATGTGAGACATGTTGCTGTAGACATGTGAGACATGTTGGGGTAGACATGTTGGTGTAGACATGTGAGACATGTTGGGGTAGACATGTGAGACATGTTGGTGTAGACATGTTGCTGTAGCCACGTGAGACATGTTGCACCAACGCCTGAAGCACGAACAGATGAATCTACTCAATAATTTACCAACGGTTCACTTCCAGCAACCTTTCAGCTTTGCTATTAAAACCTCAGTAATTGCAACAGGCGAAAAATACCTGCACACAAAAAAATCATAATACTAGCCTGAGAACACGAGCCTGCAGCACCCGCCACCTAGCTCGTTGGTAGTCAGGCAATCAATAGATGGTTTATCTATTGATCTAATCTATTCCCCAGTGGAACACTGTGGGGCCCTGCTGCCTACTGATAGGCCTACCTGTACCACATCTTACAGTTGTGAAAAGATTTATAAGAATTTTTCATTCTTTGGGTGAGATATAATTGGTTATTAAATAATAGTCAAGACACATCCCCGGGGTATGTGTCCCCGTAATGGGTCCCCCGGGGTATGTGTCTCCTGTAATGGTTCCCCCGGGGTATGTGTCCCCCGTAATGGGTCCCCCGGGGTATGTGTCTCCTGTAATGGTTCCCTGGGGTATGTGTCTCCTGTAATGGTCCCCCGGGGTATGTGTCTCCTGTAATGGTTCCCCGGGGTATGTGTCTCTCGTAATGGTCCCCGGGGTATGTGTCCCGTAATGGTTCCCCCGGGGTATGTGTCTCTCGTAATGGTTCCCCGGGGTATGTGTCTCTCGTAATGGTTCCCCTGGGGTATGTGTCTCCCGTAATGGTTCCCCCGGGGTATGTGTCTCTCGTAATGGTCCCCCGGGGTATGTGTCTCTCGTAATGGTCCCCCGGGGTATGTGTCTCTCGTAATGGTTCCCCCGGGGTATGTGTCTCCTGTAATGGTTCCCCCGGGGTATGTGTCTCTCCTGTAATGGGTCCCCGGGGTATGTGTCTCCCGTAATGGTTCCCCCGGGGTATGTGTCTCTCGTAATGGGTCCCCCGGGGTATGAGTCTCCTGTAATGGTTCCCCGGGGTATGTGTCTCCTGTAATGGGTCCCCGGGGTATGTGTCTCTCGTAATGGGTCCGAGGGGGTATGTGTCTCCTGTAATGGTCCCCCGGGGTATGTGTCTCTCGTAATGGTTCCCCCGGGGTATGTGTCTCCTGTAATGGTTCCCCGGGGTATGTGTCTCCCGTAATGGGTCCCCGGGACATGTGCCCCCCCACCTCCCCACCCAGCCACAAGTTTAATTCCTGATTCGACAAGGAAGTCTTGATGGTTAATTATACCGTAACAGGTCTAATGAGGCGAGTAGGCGGGGTGGAAAGAGGTAGACCTGACCTCGTAGTAGACACTAATAGGTAAGTACTAACCGGTAAGTGGACTCAGCCCATCCCTTCCGACAGGGCTCCTGTTATGGTATTTCTGTCTCGGGTAGACGTCTCTCCAAGAACCATAAAAAAGGTTATTGTAATTTCAAGTCTGAACCAATTCGTCCCTAGAGGTGCACAGGTCTGGGGCTCCTCTGACTCTGGGATTAGTCTGGTGGTATTTCTCTAGATGAGGCCGCGGCGGTGGTGCCACATATCCCACAACAGCTCCGATATGTCGAGACATATGCAGGGGTTCCGCTTCAGTTATTATTCTGATTTCTAAAAGCAGTTCTTGTGCCTGGCCAAACCAAGCACACGCCGCTGATAACATCCTCCTGATGTGTACTTCCTATGTGTCTCTCACATGCCCAGCTCTCTCTCTCTCTCTCTCTCTCTCTCTCTCTCTCTCTCTCTCTCTCTCTCTCTCTCTCTGTTATCTCTCTCTCTCTCTCTCTCTCTCAATCTCTCTCTCTCTCTCTCTCTCTCTCTCTCTCTCTCTCTCTCTCTCTCCTCTCTCTCTCTCTCCTGTCCTAGGAGAGGTTTTCTTCCCTCTAGGCCAATAAAGGCGCGCAGTATTCCAGTCCCCCCGCATACCAGACGCGCAGTATACAGCCCATCCTTCTGCATGATAGTACTTATAGGAAGGACGGGGACCATAGTACATATACCGACGTACAACACAATTAGAAAGTAGAAATCGGTACTATTCAATTTGGGTAAATTGGAAAATAATTTCCAACTTAAGTTGCAAAGACAAATTAAACTAACCTAACCTAACATTCTTAGGCCTAATTCAGGCTATCTGAGGCCTAATATAGTATATATGTGTGCTATACTAGGCCTTGAAATATTTAAGTTTGTTTATAAGATTCATGTTTTTGGACTATAAAGAGAATAGTACACAATTCTACTATCTAATTGCGTAGTACGTTAATGTTGTACTATGGTGCATATAGTTACAACAACTGTTATCTAAACAGGAAGATGAGTTGCAATATATGGAACTTGCTAATGATATAAAAACTTATCCATCCAAAACTTCATTCGAAAGTAGATACGAAGAACACTTTATTTCATCTTCAGATATTTCACCTTATTCTCCTACTCACTCTGTGCTTCACTCAGACACAGTTTAGTTCTTAAGACATGTTCGCTCATCCGCACAATCTGTTCTATTAATTTATAATGTAGTCATTATGTTGAATTAAAATTATAACAATTTGTATACCAAATTATTAATGCATTTATTGGTTAGCCTAAGCACCTGCCTGCACCACTATGCCTGTTAGTAGTCTTGCAAGAATGTAACGCTCAATCACCCCTCTTATCAACTCTCACAACCCCATGTACCTTCTTGTATACAAATAAACAAATAAATAATAAATATATCCAGTTTTCCATTCCCAGCTCCCCACTTTATAACTTTGCACTTCAGTGAGTTGAACTCTAGCAGCCACTTTTTATCCAGTTTGCATGACAAGACTGTCCATATTTGTGTTTGAAGATCATATAGTTGCTGAGTTCAGTTTACGCATTATCAACCAAAATTCAGCATGGCTTCCCTTCTTGCTGAACCCATTGTAACATTGTGCTGACCACTTGGTGTGGTCCCTTCACCCCACTGTGGTCCCTTCACCCCGCTGACCACACTGTGGTCCCTTCACCCCCACTGACCACACTGTGGTCCCTTCACCCCACTGTGGGGGGTTTCTATTTTGTTTTCACGACTGCAATGCGTAAGTCACCAATGTACATGTGGCAGACGCTTCACGAAGCTGTCGGAATCAGCAGAGAAAATACGAGAGCAACCTTCAGGGCCTGGGAGCAAGGTCGAGTTAGAGTCCTTGAGGGTCTCTTCTCAGACTAGCCTCACCGGGTCCTGCTCCACGTTGATCGTTGGAATCTTCTCAATGATTTAACACTTTAAGGGACTCCTAGGGTCCTCATCACATTTATAGCTTAGTGAATAATAGGCAACTCGGTGTTGGAGACACCTGGAGCTGAAGGCTTGAGTAAATAGTTGGCAGTATTCAGAAGTGGTTCAACGGAAACACCGCATAAAGCTTAACAGTTGTTTATTTACTAACTTAACCACTAATACAAAGGGTGCTTGATTTACTTTAGATTGGCATCAGAAAAGGCTATGGTTGCGTTAGCGAGACTCTTGACGTCTGGCTAATCGACTCGGATCCACTCGTGGAGTAACACCTAACTTAACACAGTTAACAGCCAATCATTAACACGACAACCTAACTGCCGGTATGCAAAGGGATCACAAGAGTTCCAACCGGATACTCTG